AGTTATGGGGTGACATCACTGTCAAAAAATGATTGCAGTTAGGAAAATCTGTTAGAATCTTTTGTAATTCCATTAGTGACTTTCATCTTGATGAATGAGAAGACCATTTAGGATTCTATCGAGTTCAAGAAATCCCTATGTTTGAAGAATATGTCATCATCAGCTTTAACAGGAAACATTTGCAGACTGCCCTTGAATATGTTCTAATAACTGAACTGTGGCCAAATAATCAAGATTACTGTGGTTCCACTGGGGTTTGAACCCAGGACCTTCCGCGTGTGAGGCAGTCGTGATGACCACTACATTATGGAACCATCAATGTGACTTTTCCAGAATCAGGTTTGTTGCAATAAATGAAAAACTGACTAATATTTTTACATAATAGTTTGACAGAAAATATTTGACATCTTTCAAAATTCAATGTGGCCTACATCTAAAGTGAAGAACTTACGCATCACTAGCAGAGATCCTGAAAGCAGAAATATGGAATTGTCATCTCTGATTGAAAAAGTCATACCAGTTTACTCAAATATGGAATGAAAAGGTGCATGAGCACAACTTAACAATTTCTTTAGTGGTTCCACTGGGGATTGAACCCAGAACCTTCTGTGTGTAAGACAGATGTGATGACCTTTACACCATGGAACCTTGCTTCAAAATATTATATATAGAAGGAACAATCCAAAAATAGAAGTACATTGAGCATAAAGAGTTGTTACTGAAGCCAGCTTAAGTCACTTTACGCTTTAGGAATGGAACCCCGGAAGAAGATTCTTGTTTTTTGTTTCCTGCCGTCAAAGCATCAATTGATCATTTAGTAAGAATACACCAATGCAAGGAACTGGTACAATGTACATTATTTAAAATTAAGCTATAGATACATTCTTTTGCATTTACAATTATGGGGTGACAACACTTTCAAAAAACGATTCCATCCTGGGAAATGTCTTTGGTTCTTTTGTAATTCCATTAGTGACTTTCGTCTTGATGAATGAGAAGACCATTAAGGATTCTATCGCGTTCAAGAAATCCCTATGTTTGAAGAATATGTCACCATCAGCTTTAACAGGAAACATTTACAGACTGCCCTTGAATATGTTCTAATAAGACGTGATGACCTCTACACTATGGAACCATCAATTGAACTTTTCCAGTATCAGGTTTGTTGCATTAAATGAAAACTGACTATGTGATATTTTTAATTAATAGATTGACAGAAAATATTTGACATTTTTCAAAATTCTATTTGGTCTACATCTAAAGTCAAGAACTTAAGCATCACTAGCAGAGATCCTGAAAGCAGAAATATGGAATTGTCATCTCTGATTGAAAAAGTCCTACCAGTTTACTCAAATATGGAATGAAAAGGTGCATGAGCACAACTTAGCAATTTCTTTAGTGGTTCCACTGGAGATTGAACCCAGAACCTTCTCTGTGTAAGACAGATGTGATGACCTTTACACCATGGAACCTTGCTTCAAAACATTATATATAGAAGGAACAATCCAAAAATAGAAGTACGTTGAGCATAAAGAGTTGTTACTGAAGCCAGCTTAAGTCACTTTACGCTTTAGGAATGGAACCCCCGAAGAAGTCTCTTGTTTTTTGTTTCCTGCCCTCAAAACATCAATTGATCACTTTAGTAAGAATACACCAATGCAAAGGAACTGGTACAATGTACATTATTTAAAATTAAGCTATATATACATTCTTTTGCATTTATATTCATGGGGTGACAACACTGTCAAAAATCGATTCCATCCTGGGAAATGTCTTTGGTTCTTTTGTAATTCCTTTAGTGACTTTCGTCTTGATGAATGAGAAGACCATTTAGGATTCTATCGAGTTCAAGAAATCCCTATGTTTGAAGAATATGCCACCATCAGCTTTAACAGGGAACACTTACAGACTGCCCTTGAATATGTTCTAATAACTGAACTGTAGCCAAACAACCAAGATTACAGTGGTTCCACTGGGGTTTGAACCCAGGACCTTCAGCGTGTGAGGCAGACGTGATGACCACTACACTATGGAACGATCAATATGTCTTTTCCAGTATCAGATTTGTTGCAATAAATGAAAAACTGACTAATATTTTTACATAATAGTTTGACAGAAAAAATTTGACATCTTTCAAAATTCAATGTGGTCTACATCTAAAGCGAAGAACTTACGCATCACTAGCAGCGATCCTGAAAGCTGAATTATGGAATTGTCATCTCTGATTGAAAAAGTCCTACCAGTTTACTCAAATATGGAATGAAAAGTGCATGAGCAAAACTTAGCAATCTCTTTAGTGGTTCCACTGGGGATTGAACCCAGAAGCTTCTGTGTGTTAGACAGATGTGATGACCATTACACCATGGAACATTGCTTCAAAACATTTTATATAGAAGGAACAATCCAAAAAGAGAATTACGTTGAGCATAAAGAGTTGTTTTGAAGCCAGCTTAAGTCACTTTACGCTTTAGGAATGGAACCCCGGAAGAAGATTCTTGTTTTTAGTTTCCTGTCGTCAAAGCATCAATTGATCATTTAGTAAGAATTTACCAATGCAAGGAACTGGTACAATGTACATTATTTAAAATTAAGCTATTTATACATTCTTTTGCATTTATATTTATGGGGTGACAACACTGTCAAAAATCGATTCCATCCTGGAAAATGTCTTTGGTTCTTTTGTAATTCCATTAGTGACTTTCGTCCTGATGAATGAGAAGACCATTTAGGATTCTATCGAGTTCAAGAAATCCCTATGTTTGAATAATATGTCACCATCAGCTTTAACAGGAAACATTTACAGACCGCCCTTGAATATGTTCTAATAACTGAACTGTAGCCAAACAATCAAAATTACTGTGATTCCACTGGGGTTTGAACACAGGACCTTCCGCGTGTGAGGCAGACGTGATGACCACTACACTATGGAACCATCAATTTAACTTTTCCAGTATCCGGTTTGTTGCATTAAATGAAAACTGACTATGTGATATTTTTAATTAATAGTTTGACAGAAAATATTTGACATCTTTCAAAATTCAATGTGGTCTACATCTAAAGTCAAGATTTTAAGCATCACTAGCAGAGATCCTGAAAGCAGAAATATGGAATTGTCATCTCTGATTGAAAAAGTCCTACCAGTTTACTCAAATATGGAATGAAAAGGTGCATGAGCACAACCCAGCAATTTCTTTAGTGGTTCCACTTGGGACTGAACCCAGAACCTTCTGTGTGTAAGACAGATGTAAATGGCCTGTAAATGGCCTGTATTTCATATAGCGCCTTCTAGAGTCCTAGAACCCCCCAAGGCGCTTTACAACACAATCAGTCATTCACCCATTCACACACACATTCACACACTGGTGGGGATGAGCTACAATGTAGCAACAGCTGCCCTGGGGCACACTGACAGAGGCGAGGCTGCCGAGCACTGGCGCCACCAGTCCCTCCGACCACCACCAGCAGGCAACGTGGGTAAAGTGTCTTGCCCAAGGACACAACGACAGCAACAGACTGAGCGGGACTCGAACCAGCAACCTTCCGATTACGGGGCGAGCACTTAACTCCTGTGCCACCGTCGCCCAGATGTGATGACTATTACACCATGGAACCTTGCTTCAAAACTTTATATATAGAATGAACAATCCAAAAAGAGAAGTACGTTGAGCATAAAGAGTTGTTACTGAAGCCAGCTTAAGTCACTTTACGCTTTAGGAATGGAACCCCCGAAGAAGTCTCTTGTTTTTTGTTTCCTGCCCTCAAAACATCAATTGATAACTTTAGTAAGAATACACCAATGCAAGGAACTGGTACAATGTACATTATTTAAAATTAAGCTATATATACATTCTTTTGCATTTATATTTATGGGGTGACAACAATGTCAAGAATCGATTCCATCCTGGGAAATGTCTTTGGTTCTTTTGTAATTCCTTTAGTGACTTTCATCTTGATGAATGAGAAGACCATTTAGGATTCTATCGAGTTCAAGAAATCCCTATGTTTGAAGAATATGCCACCATCAGCTTTAACAGGGAACACTTACAGACTGCCCTTGAATATGTTCTAATAACTGAACTGTAGCCAAACAACCAAGATTACTGAGGTTCTACTGGGGTTTGAACCCAGAATCTTCAGCATGTGAGGCAGACGTGATGACCACTACACTATGGAACGATCAATATGTCTTTTCCAGTATCAGATTTGTTGCAATAAATGAAAAACTGACTAATATTTTTACATAATAGTTTGACAGAAAAAATTTGACATCTTTCAAAATTCAATGTGGTCTACATCTAATGCGAAGAACTTACGCATCACTAGCAGAGATCCTGAAAGCTGAATTATGGAATTGTCATCTCTGATTGAAAAAGTCCTACCAGTTTACTCAAATATGGAATGAAAAGTGCATGAGCAAAACTTAGCAATCTCTTTAGTGGTTCCACTGGGGATTGAACCCAGAACCTTCTGTGTGTTAGACAGATGTGATGACCATTACACCATGGAACCTTGCTTCAAAACATTTTATATAGAAGGAACAATCCAAAAAGAGAAGTACGTTGAGCATAAAGAGTTGTTACTGAAGCCAGCTTAAGTCACTTTACGCTTTAGGAATGGAACCCCGGAAGAAGATTCTTGTTTTTTGTTTCCTGCCGTCAAAGCATCAATTGATCATTTAGTAAGAATACACCAATGCAAGGAACTGGTACAATGTACATTATTTTAAATTAAGCTATAGATACATTCTTTTGCATTTACAATTATGGGGTGACAACACTTTCAAAAAACTATTCCTTCCTGGGAAATTTCTTTGGTTCTTTTGTAATTCCATTAGTGACTTTCGTCTTGATGAATGAGAAGACCATTTTAGGATTCTATCGAGTTCAAGAAATCCCTATGTTTGAAGAATATATCACCATCAGCTTTAACAGGAAACATTTACAGACTGCCCTTGAATATGTTCTAATAACTGAACTGTAGCCAAACAATTAAGATTACTGTGGTTCCACTGGGGGTTTGAACCCAGGACCTTCTGCGTGTGAGGCAGACGCGATAACCACTACACTATGGAACCATCAATGTGGCTTTTGCAGTTTCAGGTTTGTTGCATTAAATGAAAACTGACTATGTGATATTTTTAATTAATAGTTTGACAGAAAATATTTGACATCTTTCAAAATTCAATGTGGTTGTAAGGTTATGAAGTTCATCATTTTTAGCTCCACACAGCTGCCCCTGTGCACAGTAACACCCGTGTAGAAAAGCCAAGGTCGTTTGTTCCTCGGACTGTTTACATTCCAGGAGAAGAGCCAGAAGGAGGAGAAGAAGCTTTACTTAATCAAAGTACTTTATTTGTGATTAAAAAAATTAAGCAAAACATATGTTGATCAATAATAATCAAGTGAATGATCTGTGAAATAAATATATCATGATTTGTGTTTAATGAAAACAGGACTATTGCACAGACAGACTGATCCTCATCTCCATAGAAACGCATGACACATTGTTCCAACCAATCAGAGCTTTAGGCTCCCGCAGGAGAATCTGGCTTGTTGACTTAAAGTGTTCAATCCCGTTTACTGAAACTTAAAACAATTCAGAGATATAAAACAAGGCAACGCCATTTTAAGCTCAGTTCCATTTTGACTTCAGTTCTATTCACCGTCATCCTAAAGAAAAGCACAGCCTGGCCAGATGTGTTTTCTTCTTTAAACTAAGAACTGTGAAGTTGGAGATTTTCGTCGTTTAACAACCAGACAACATCCTTTCAAAATAAGAGCACCTGCTGACGCCGCCGATTGGTACCGGGGTCGACCCTTCAGACGGGCTTTGAAACGCTGCGACCGCTGCTCCGACAGCTCCAGCGCACATCCGAGGTCTCCAGACCTGGCATTTCCTGATCTACCTGGGAGGCCCCCCACTGGGTACGTACACGGCAAAATAGCGGCTCATGTCATCACTTTATAAGCCTCGTGATATCTAGTCATAACAAAGACTACCAGATTCAATGACGTCAGCCTAAGGAGTCTGAACCAACCACACACACACACACGCACCAACACAACATCCAAATCCATTTTCATCCATCACAGAATTAGTCCTGGTAGATTGTTTAGAATTTATAATTAAGAAATTAAAGATTCTCAAACGATCCCATCTCTCTCTCTTGTCTTGTCTCAAAGTCAATACAGAGTGTTTAATTAAACTCCCTGATGATAAAAACAGCCTATTCTTCTGATTATAAAAAGTGATCTACTTACAGTGTATTAAAATACAACTCTAGATAGTTACATCACTTCAATTCTGTTACAAGTGGCGAGCCATGCATGATATCTGCACAGTTTATTACACTTTGTGCCGATTTTGAGACATATTGTGGGATTTTTTTTTTTGTCCAGTGTGTGAGTTCAGGGAGTTCAGGGAGAGGAAAGGCGAGCGTTTCCCTCATTCAGCTTCTCAGAAAGGGGGGTGCACATTCATCACCCTCCGACAGGAGGCTCTGTTTCATCAAAACACCTTAAGTGCTGACGTGTGCTGACGGCCATTTTGAGGCCTACATTTGAGGGTAAACATTTCTCCTGTTTTAATACGTTGGAACCGTCTGTTTATTGTTTGTCGCGGTGTTTGTGATGCTGTGTGCATCCATTTGTGTAATCGGAGACAGAAGACTCCGTCGGAAATTTATTTCCGTTCAATGAGCGCCTGATCCGCGCTGTTCTTTGTCGGAATACTCGTTAGCACCTACCGTAGCTTAACTTGCTTGGTAAACGCTGTAAGTCGGGTTTTTACCGCAGAGCGGTACTGCATCCAGATTGCGTACGCTGTTTAAAGTCCGTTTTAACCACGGAGCGAGATGCCCGTTGGTTGATCAGGCACTTTTAAGACCCTGGTCGCTCCAGGGCGTTCGCTAGCATTAGCCGACGAGCTAACTAGCCACTCTCGGTGAGAAGCTCGGGAACGCGTCCCGCGAAGCTTTCAAGCCGTTCCGACGCAGCGATTCTGCGTCCTTTAATCCGCTAAACCTTTCGGTACGGTGTACTTTTAGGTAACGGTAGCGGCGGTTCTAAATAACGTTCCGGTGTTTAGAGTCGTGATTCTGCTACAGGGGGGGAGCACCGAGTGACGGACAATGCATGCGCACAACTCTGCCATCTTAGGTGGCCCAACACGTAGCTCGACCGGCCATTTTGGGCAGGTCAAGGGCAATTGGCGTTTTGGCATTACTTAACGGTTTTGGCCTGACAGAAGAACATAAAATATTAATAATAATAAAAATTAAACTACTGTTAATTCGTTAACCACTTTTACTTGTCAATACTTCTTCTATAGACATTTTAATTGAAGATGTCTGCAGCAGAAGCCAACCCTGGCTCACTAGGACGTCAGGTGATTTATGCCGTGGAACGTGTAGTGGGAGAGTCAACTTTAAGAGAACACCAGTACGAGGAAGGTCTGGGGGGGCGTTCCACTGATGACCTGCTAGAGTTACATGAGACTACCGTAGGCCGTGTTCCCACATCAGGTAAGGCTCTTGGAGCAAAGGAACGCACAACAGTCTTGGTGGATTTCTCGGTCCTGCTGTCGCATTTGTGGGAGAAGGAGGTAGGTATACGAGATACAATCCTCAACCAGCTGATGGTAGCGGAGGCTGATAAGGACATGGCGTTACGTGCCAAGACCCAGATAGCGCAGGAGCGGGACATGGTGGTAAAGGAGAACTTTGAACTACACCGGGAAGCGAATGAGCTTAGAGCCGAGGTAGCAAATCTGAAGAAAGAAATGGCGCTTATGAAAGCACGGCAGGCGGGACCGTCTGCTCTGAAAGACGAACGACCTTCGACCTCTCAGACATCACCACCACATCCGACCCATCACGTTGTAGATGCTGCTCCACCGGCAGGTGGGAGCGCATCCGATGGGGTTGGCAGAAGTCAGGGCCATCATCCGGTGCCACCTAGCCCATATGGACCCCCTCCACCCGACTTGTACCGTGGTTATCCTCAACCGGACATCTACAGGATGTCTCGGAGCGTGAAAAAGTTCAGCCCTAAGCCGGATACATCGTACCCGGTTGATGCGTACCTGAGCGACCTCCGGCACCACTTCAGGCGGTGTCCGGGAATGTCCATGGAGGACAAGATCTCTGTGATAAGACTGAGCTCCGATGGCGTGGGTTCGCTCATTGATCGCAAGCGTAACGACATTGGGGACGACTAAGAAAAGCTAGAACAGGTGGTTCGGCAAGAGTACACCTACAACACACAACGGCCTGGCTTACAGTTAGCCTTATCAGTCAAACAGGGTCGTGCTGAAGACCCGCAGGTCTATTATCAACGTTTATTCAACGCATACATTGGTACGGAATGCAAGGATGGGATGGAGGAAGATAAAGGTTTTAAGGCTTTATTCCTTGAAAATCAGCATGTCCACTACAGCTCATACATGGGTACGGTGGATTCAGACACCACGCCCATGAGAGAGCTCAGACGGATGGCGAGCTGCGCCTTCGTGCGGTTCGGTAAAACCGGGAAAGGATCAAACAATCCCATCAGTTATGGCGTTAGGAGACCGAGACGCGCTGCAACTAGAGGGTGCTGAGTATAGGGATCGCAAGCCGAAAGGGTTTAGAGCTGGACCTCGGAAAAAGGGGGGCCAGCATACTGATGACAAACAATATCGATCAGTCAACAAGCGACGGGACCCGGAGAGACCCCGGACCCCACCGCCTGCTCACGGGGGGGCCCCTAAGTCACTGCGGCCGGGACGTGTTAACCGCTGTGTTTCTTTCGAGAAAAAGGGGGGTTCTCCGAGGCCCTACAGGAAGGCGTCGCCTCACCCGGACGGGGGTCGCACGCCTCTGAGGGCGAGCTCCCCGTATGCGTCACGCGGGAGTCACAGCCCCGCCAGAGGGCGGGACCGTGAGTCTGAGGGTGCCACCGCAGAGGAGCGTCGGATGGTGAAGGAACTCCTTCGCCAGATGCGGACAGACACGACACCAAAGGAGGTCATGTGTGCGACGACAAGAAGGGTTTCGCCGCCACACTGGGAATCGGCGGCTGGGGCCAGGGCGGTGGACGTGAGGCACACCACGATGATTGATCCGCCGGCACCTGTGGCGTCGGTGACTCGTGTGGAGGTTAATACTACCAGCGCTCGTGAGGTGACACGTGGAGGCCTAGTGACCTGGCCTACCGAACGAAGACACCAGCCTATCATATCCGAATGTCGGTCTGACGACTCGGACATTGTCCTTGGCAATATCGTCAGACGGGGGCACTCAGGGAAACCTCACGTTCTAGTGACTATGGCGGGGGTGAGAGACTGTGAGGCTCTTATAGACTCTGGTTCAACTAACACGGTCATGTCCCGGTCTGCTTGGGAGCAGGTCCGCATGGCTGCGGAGTCGAGGGGTCAAGACTTGGCATTCGCACCCGGCACGGTGCCGGTTCCAACGCTCACTGGCGTCGAGATCCCCTTCAAAGGTTTGGCGCTCATCGACCTCACGGTGGGGTTCATGACCGTGCAACACCCGGTGTTGGTGGCTGATGTCGACTCGTTTCCACTCCTGCTGGGGTGTGACCTGTTAAATCGCATTGGGGCAGAATTTGACTTGAGTGATTGGACGCTCCGGACTACTTTCACCAGTCCGGTACCTTTAGAGGCCCTTGAACACCTCGGTGTGGATTCCGAGGGTGATGACGACGACGGGGTTGTCGAACCAGTCGATCGGTCAGTCGCCTGGGATGGCCATGCCGTCCGGGGTATTTGAGTGGTCACGGTGAGACCTTTCCACGCGGAGTTGGGGGACTTGTCCACCAAAAGGGGGGTTAGTGGTTGCGATGAGAAAGCACCCGTGCCAGCAAGCCCTGCGGTGGGGGATCAGCCTACCAAAGGAGGTGTTGAGGGTGGGGCTGCTGCTCGCATCAACGCCCGGAGCCTTGGAGGGGATGACCCCGACCGTGCACGACAGGTGGTGGACGTCAGTGACAGCGACGTGCGCTGGTGACCTTGTGCCCGGAGGCTGGTGTTTCGCCTACCGAAGGCGTGGGGGCCTGGGGTCCTGGACCGGCGCTG